TTTTTACTCCTTACTGAATTGTTGCGTAATTATTAGTTGTTACCAAAACGGACAAGAATTATGAAAAAGGTAGTATAACAATTATTTTTGCCAAAAAAAATCTGACAAAAAAGAAAGTCATTTCTTCCCCTTATCCCTAACAAAAAAACAAAAAAAATCTAGCAATTATTAACCCCCGCGCTACCCCATTTTTCGCCAAAAAATCATTTTTTTCTTTCTCCTAAAATTAATTTAATATATGTCATTACTAATCACCTTGGAAGGAATAGACGGTAGTGGTAAAACTACTCTCATTAACAACCTGAAAAAAAGTAGTGAATTAAACCTGATAACTCATAATTGACGAGATACTGAATTAGGTCAAAAAATCTGAACTTTACTAAATGAAGCCCGCGGAGCCGGCAAAAGTGGTTTACCCGGCAGTTGAAGTTATATTTTCCTGATTTTGGTAGCCTTTGATGAGTTGGTGAAAAAAGTAATTAAACCCAATTTACAAGCAAATAAAGTAGTAATTGTTGACCGTTATATTGACAGCACCTTTGTTTATCAAGGATTAGAAGGAAGTTTGGGAATTGATATCGTCCAAGAAGTAGCCAAAAAAACCCTCGATTTGCCCTTACCTGATATCACTTTTATTCTCGATATTGACCCCATTAAGGCTCAAGAAAGACTAAAAAAAAGAAGACTAGAAACCGGTGAATATACTAACTGAGATAAATTAAACTTAGAATTTCACCAAAGAATACGTAATTATTATTTAGAATTAAAAAAACTTTTTCCCGAAAGGATTTATATAGTGGATGCCGAAAAAAGCGAGGATGAAATATTGACCGAAGTCCAGGATATAATTAAACAAAATCATTCGCCAAAAAAGGAATCCAATTTACCCCAATTTGTGCGAGTAATTATCCAAAATGACAAAGGGGAATTTTTGTTGGTAAAAGATAAAAAATGAGGTTGAAATTTTCCAGGAGGCAAAATAGAGTCTAGTGAAACACCAGAAGACGCGGCCAAAAGAGAAGTTTTTGAGGAAACCAATTTAGTAGTAGAAAATCTGGAGAAAATCGGAGAAGGAAACGTTTTTTACGCTAATTTGTCTAAAGGAAATCAGCACTGAAAAGGATATTTTTTTCGGACTAATAAATATTCGGGAGAGATACAAATAAAAGAGGTGGGGAAAATATTGGATATTAAATTTGTAGATTATAATTATTCTGAACCCGAGGCAAAAGATTTTTTTGATTGATTTAAAGGTCAACATCCCTGCCAGTTTTATTGAGAAAAAATAAGAAAATTACAAAAATATGCCAAATAATCAATATAATTCGACAGAAAGAAGTAAAAATACGCTCATAATCATTGCTGGCGGAAGCGGAACCGGCAAAACGACAGTGGAGAATTTACTAACTCAGGATCCAAATATTGCTAAATTAATTTCAACTACCACCCGCCCACCCCGCACCGGGGAAAAAGACGGTCAAGACTATTATTTTATTAGCAAAGAAACCTTTCAAACTGAGTTAGAAAAAGGGCGTTTTTTAGAGCATGTAATCTATGATGGCAATTATTACGGAATCCACGGCAAAGTAGTCGATTTAATATTAGGAACCCAAAATAAGCATGGGGTTATTATTGTGGATGTGGACGGTTTTCGGCAAATCAAAAAATACTGTCAAGAAAAAGGATACAACACCATTTCTTACTGATTTAAAGCCGAAAGTTTGGAAAAAATGGTCGAACATATGAGAAAAAGAGGCACCAGTGAACCAGAAATTATTCGCCGATTAACTATTGCTGAAAAAGAAGAAAAATTTGCCCCGGAGTTCGATCATATTTTAACCATTAAAGAAAACGAATTAACCGCCACCGTGCAAAAAATTAAGGAAAATTTGAGCCATGAAATAAGTCAATATAACGAAAATTAATGTTAAATTACTGTTTTTGTATTTTTATAATTTTCAACCATCCCTATCAAAATTTATAAAAATATGGCAGAAGTAAATAATACTACTAACAATAAAACCAAATTAAATTGATGGACAATAACCCGAAAATACTGAAAAGACCAAGTCATGTATTTTTTTTTGACAACAATTAGTTTTTTAAGTTCTTGGTTTATCATGCAAAACACTTTGGGATTTGCTTATGACGTGGTAAAGAAATCGTTGAAAGAAGGTGAAATAGTGAAAGGTTTGAGTAAATTAGAATACAAAATTAATTTTGCGGGAAAGGAAATTCATAATTTTAAAAATGACTTAAAAAGTTTTTTAATAGTGATGGGAATAGCAGTTGTGATTTATTGTGCTATTGTTCTTATTCACGTTTATTTTGGTTTTTGATTTAACAATAAAATCATTTATGCCCTGAAAAAGAAGTTGGTTAACAAGATTTCCCAAGTGAAAAATCCCAATGAAAAACAAAATCTCAATAGTCTAATTTACGACAGCCGAGTTTTTGCTGATTGAGTGGTTTATGCTCCCAATCAACTTTATTATATATTGTTAGAAACAATTTTGGCTTTTTGAGCCATTTCCGGCTCCCCATCAAAGGTTATTTGGTTAGCGTTAGGTTATTTCTTGGCAGTGGTAGTGATTTGCGGATTAATTAATTATTTTCTCCATAAAAAAGATTTGAAATTTCAAAAGCAATTGGAAGAACAAGTTAAGCAAGAAACCATTCTGGTTAATCAGCGGGATTTGCTTCTGAAAAAAAATGCTGAGGAAACCTATTTTGCCAAATACCAGCAAACTCTAAAAAGAACTCGGCAACTTGCTAATGAGGAGGATAAACTTTACACGGCAGCTTTTGTTATTCCCTCTTATTCCTTAATTAAATATTCCAAATACTTTTTTTTCCCATTTGTTGGTGATCGCGGTGGCTATATAGCATTTAATATTTTTACTGACTTATTTGAAGCAATGAAAAAAATGATTGAAAGATTAAGGGGCTATACTTATTATTTTTCCGCCCAAAAAAGGCTCAATGAATTATTAGCCCAACCAGAAAGAAATGATATTCAAAAAAATATTCTCTTTGCTGAACCGGTAGCAACTATAACTTTCCAAAAAGTAAGTTTTGCCTACCAGGAAAATAAGACTGTGTTAAAAAAAATGAATTGGGAGTTTCATAGCGGTCAGGTCAACCACCTAATCGGCGAAAATGGCTTCGGCAAAAGCACTATGATTAATCTAATTGTGGGCTTGTATCAGCCTAATCAAGGGGAAATATTAATTAATAATAAATATAAATTAAATGAAATAAATCTAATAGCATGAAGAAAAAAAATTGCTTATGCCGAACACGAAAATCTGGTGGAAAATGGTTTGTCAACCGGTCAGAAACAGTTGGCTGACCTCAACCAACTTTTTGCAACTAGCGAAAACAAAGAAATATTCATTTTTGACGAAGCCGACAATGCCCTAGATGAAAAAAACAAAAAAGAATTTCGCCAAAAAATAGAGAAAATTAGCAAAAAAAAATTAGTCATTTTGATAAACCATTAAAATCATTTATACTATGTCAGAAATTAGTAGTAAAAAAACCAAAGCCGAAAAGATATTAGAGGACATTGAAGCCCAGTTGCGGAAACTTATCACTGAGAAAAAAGAGTTGAAAAAGAAATTTTTGGACAAATTGAAAGACTTAACGAAGCAAGAAAAAGAAAACAAAGGTTGATTTGATGACAATTGACGGGAAGCCGAAAGAATCGAAAATAAATTAATGCTGCTGTGAGACTACTGAAAAAGGGAAGTAGAAATATTGCAACTAGAAAGAAAAATGACATCCGGAGTGTTACCAACCGAACGCGAGGAAATAATGAAAGAAATCCAAAAACTTAACGCTTACAATATCACTTTAGAGCAAGGGTTTAAAAAGCGAAAAATCGATGCGGAAGTAGTGACGGAAATTCGCAAAAGATTAGGAGTTTGGGAAGAAAAAGAGGGTTAAAGTGGGAGAGAAGCAGTATTTAGACCTCTTGGCCGAAATAATGAAAAATGGAGCCAAAAAAACTGACAGGACTGGGATCGGAACCAAGGCTTTATTTGGCTGTCAAATGCGGTTCAACCTCCATCAAGGGTTTCCCTTACTGACTACTAAGAAAGTAAATTTTAAGGCTATCGTTCACGAACTTTTGTGGTTTATTAAGGGTGATACTAATATTAAATATTTAGTCGATAATGAGGTGAAAATTTGAAATGAATGGCCTTATGAAAAATATAAATTGTCTCCCGACTATCAAGGGGAAAGTTTGGAAGAGTTTGGAGAAAAGATTAAGAATGATAATAAATTCGCACAAGAATATGGTGAATTAGGCCCTGTTTATGGTAAACAATGACGAAATTTTGGGGGAGTAGACCAGTTAAAAGAACTGGTAGAGAACTTAAAAAGCAATCCTTTTTCTCGCCGTCATATCTTAACGGCTTGAAACCCACCTGAAATTAAACAAATGCTCCTGCCGCCTTGTCATTTGTTAGCCCAATTTTTTGTTTCTAACAATAAAAAACTATCCTGCTTGCTATATCAAAGAAGTGGTGATATGTTTTTAGGAGTACCTTTTAATATTGCTAGTTATAGTTTATTAACCGCAATGATAGCCCAAGTTTGTGGCTATAAAGTAGGAGAATTTATTCATATTATTGGCGATGCTCACATTTATTTAAATCATTTTGAGCAAGTTCAAGAACAATTAAAAAGAGAACCCAAAAAATTGACAACTTTGAAACTTAACCCGGAAATAAAATCGCTTTTTGATTTTCGTTTTGAGGATATTAGTTTGGAAAATTACGACCCTTATCCACCTATTAAGGCCAAAGTCGCAGTGTAAATCAGAAAATGTTTGAAAGTTAAATTTTTATGATAAACCTAATTTGAGCCATGGACCACAATTATCTAATTGGAAAAGATAACAAATTACCCTGGAAAATCCCTGCGGAAATGAAATACTTTTCCCAAATTACTTCTCATAATACTATTCTAATGGGATCAAAAACTTTTGAAAGCATTGGCAAACCACTGAAAAATCGTCATAATATAGTTATTACCCGAAATAAAGAAAAATATAAGAGTCGGGGAGAAAAAAACTTAACTTTCACTAGTTCTTTAAAAGAAACTTTGACGACCTATCAGGAAAATCCCAACAAACATATTTTTATAATCGGCGGACGAGAAATCTACCAACAAACTTATTCTCACGCTGACTATTATTATGTTTCAATAGTGAAAGGAACCTATGAAGGCAATATCCGTTTTCCTTTTTCGGATTGAAATAAAGGTAAGTTAATTAAAAAAGAGGAATTTCCTGACTTCACTGCTTATATTTATAAGAAAGTTTAAAAGATAAAATTACTATTAACCCGTATTAATTTCTATTTTTTTAATTTTATGCCGAAAAGAAACAATTATTTAACTTGACAAGAATACTTTATAACTATCGCTCAAGTTTGTGCTCTCCGGAGTAAAGACCCCAATACCCAAGTGGGAGCGGTAATAATTAATAAAAATCAAGAAATCATTGCCACTGGTTATAATGGTTTGCCACGAGGCTGTAATGATGATAATTATCCTTGAGAAAATAACCAAAAAAACTGATTAGAAACCAAGTATCCGTATGTCGTTCATGCGGAGGCTAATGCCCTAATTCACGCTCGCCAAAGTTGTCATGGTTTTATTCTCTATACTACTCTTTTTCCTTGCTGTGAATGTGCCAAATTAATTATCCAAGCCGGAATAAAACAAATTTTCTATTCCAACGATAAACACAACGAAAAAGAGGAAATAATTGCCGCCAAGAGAATGTTAAGGGATGCAGAAATTAAGTTTACCCTAATTCCTGCTCCCAAAATAGTTATTGAAAAATAATTATCTAACCATAATTTTTAATAATCTTTTTTTCTGCTCTTGTAAACAACTACACCAATAACAACTGCGAAAATTATTCCCACTACTATTATGGGTTCCTATTATTCCAGCGTTATCGTTTTTTTTATTTTTGTCTTTGTCAAATTCCTTGCTAACTTCGCTATAAGTAATTGGTTGTACGGTAGATTTAAGTTGTTGGGTTAACTCTGTTTGTTGTTTAGTTGATAAACCACTATCAGTAATATTTAATTGTTTGTTATTATTACATTTAATTACTACCTGATTGGTGTTGAAATCAAACTTCATCTCCACTACCCCCATTTTTTTCATTCAGGAAAAGAATTCACTAATATCAGAAACCCCAAATTTTCCTCCACTTTTGGTTGGACTATCATCTTTTTTCTTGTTTTTCCAATCAATTTTACAATCAACTGAACAAAATTTTTTCTTTTTGCCTTCACTATCAAGTGCCGTATAGTCGAGAAGTGGGGACTTAGTCTCTTTACAGTTATCACAAACAATCTCTCGCGATATTTCCTTAATAGCATCTTGGATACTAAATCAGAATGTTTGAGCATAACTTCAATCTACACTTTTATTCATCTCAGTTCTTCAATCATCAACTCCTAATTTTTGACTTAATTTTGTGTCAGAAATATTATGTTTCTTTAATTCTCTTTCTCTCTGTATCACCCTTATCACTACTAATAAACATACTGGCTATACAAGCGAAAAAGAAAGACAAGAGCAGACCAAGTAATAAAATGGCTCACATTCCACCCTTACTTTTATTTTTACCTAATCTAACCATGCTATATATTCAATAACCAAAAATAAGAATTCAAAAAGAATAAAACACTCAAATAGCAACACCACCAGGAAACATCCCTGATATAAATAATGAGGCAAACAAATCTATTATCATAATATATTTATATTTTAGCATTTTATCCTATACACGAGTTATATAATAGTTAGAGCAGTAATATAAATATATATGACAAGAAAATTAAATAAAAAAGAACAGGACAATAATATTAGACCGGTAAGTCAAGAGGAATTTGATAATGTAATAAAAGCCTTGTTAAATTCTCCACCTAGAAAAAAAAGGAGAGAAAAGAAGTAGTTTAAAATTGTATGTAATCCCCTAATAATATTATTATATTCTTATGCCAAAACTTAAATCTAATGCTAATGGCTTTCCCAAACCACTAAAAGCCCATTGTTTTCAATGTCAAAAGAGTCTCTTGGTTAAGTTTGTTATCCGATCCTAACTTACTCCTTTTACCCAAATTCTTTTTCAGTTGGGAAATGATTTAGAAGGAAATGAAGGAGGAAAAAGAGCCAAAAAGTAAGGTAGATTGTTTTTTTTACCTGTGATAAAAAGGTTTTAATCAGAAATCTTTGCTTATTTATAAGCAAAAGTTTTTATTTCCAGGAAATACTAAAAGGCAAGGCTAGTATTGACATTTAGTAGAAGGATAAGGAAGTTGTTCAATCTTGGCTTCATAATACTCTTGATTTTGCTTGCTTAACTCTTTAATTTTTTCTTCTGTTTCAAAGATAAAAATTGCTAAACCTTGATTAATAGTTTGATTTTGGACATGGGAATTAACTAGGGCTAAACTTAAATTATTTAGACTATTTTCTAATTCCATTATTTCTTGAACTCGGCTTATTAAGGGCTGGTGGGTTTCTCTTCAGGCGGGGTAGTCGTAATAATCAATTCTACCATATTTTTCTTTCTCATAACCTTTTAATTGTTTAGCTAATTCACCGTCACATTCAAGCCTTTCTAAACTCTTGGGTAAATATTCTAAACCACTATTTAGGTTAGTATTGCTAATACTTAAATAATTTAACTGCTGACAGTTTTGTAAAGATGCTAAACTACCAGTCAAGGGATTATCTCTTAAAAGAAGTTTTTTTAAACTAGTTAACTGAGTAAAAAAGTTGAGATTAGTTAATTGATTATTGGAGCAATTTAGGATTGTTAACTGAGGATTATTAGCCAAAATAAAATTAGTATTAGTTAGTTGACAATTAGAGCAATAAAGTTCAGTTAAACTAGGATTATTAGTGACGGTGAGGTTAGTTAAGTTTTCATTACCTTCACAGGCTAAATAAGTTAGGTAGGGTTGCTGATTAATTACTAAGTTAGTGAGATTATTACGCGAACAATCAATTTCCTTTAGCAAAGAATTCTCTGGAAGAATTAGATTAGTTAGGGGAGTTTTTAAATAACATGAATATCCATTTACATATTTACTATCAATAGTAACTTTCTCTAAATTAGGATAATTTGTTAAGTCTAAGTTATTGACTTTTAATTTTCTAGTTTCTTCTCGATTAAGAACTTTGGTAGAATTGATTCAAAGTCCTTGTTTTACAGCATCTATTTCTTTTACTCCTTTTTTTTCTTCCTGAGTAGGATATTTATTATCCAAGTATGCTTGAAAGGTTAAGTGTTCTTTTCAGTGGTTATATTCTGCTTGTATTTCCTTTCAACTAGCCTCAGCTGGTTGACAGCCTTTGCCACGGAGATAGACTGATAATAAACTATCAGCAAGTTGGTAACCCTGATTAATTAATGATTGAACTTGCAGAGGAGTAAAAGGGAGGTCTTTTCATCTTTTAACTAAATAATAACCTCCCGGCTGAAAACCAACAGTTACTCATTCCTGGACATCTTGATAAGTAAGTCCTGCTTCTTCTCATTCTTGTTGATGTACTTTATGTCCACCAAAATCCCGATGAATATCTGTTCAATCTTGTCAGTTAGTTTGTCGAAATTCTTCTCTTAATTGGTTAAGGTTTCAGTCTTCTTTTTTAGGATCCAAGTCTTTATATCGGCAATAACTAGCCAACTTGGCTTCGGATGGTTGACAGCCTTTTTTAATTCAGTTTTCGACTTCTCCTACATAATAATTCAATCTTTTTCCTTCTCATTCTTTTATTAATTCTTCCGTAAAATCTGGATGGATTTGTTTTCATTCTTGTAATGTCTTTGCCATATCTAGTTATTGCTTTAAAAATTTATATTTACAGTTTTATGATCACCACTCTGGCAATTAAGCCAATTTATTAGGTAGCAATTGATTTTTGCTTTTAAAATTATTCTAATTTGCTATCTACATATTCTGACCATAGGCATATTATTGGTTACTGGGAATATTTAGTCTATAATTTAAATTTTTATATTTATAACCCCCCCTCCATCTTCCCCATAATCACTTTCTTTATCTAAGAAGACTCGCTAGTTAAACATTGTCTCATCTTTAAGAAGATTTAGAGTAAACTCCTCGGCTCACCCCTTTGCCGACTTATAGTAATGAAATAAAAGCCAAAACCCATGGTAAATGGTTTTTGCATACTTCTTTATTTAGTGCGGTTAAAAAACACTATCAAATTTGTGGGCAAATTTATTATGAAAACTTTTGAATATTTGAAGAAAAAAAGGGCTGTGCTAATAAATATTTAACTATTGTAATTAGTTAAAAACTAAGTCCGAGAACGAAAAGCAAGGCAAAATGCTGGCTAATTCCCTTTGTGGATATTTAATAAAAAGCAATTTTGACGGTTAGCATTATCACCCTTTTCATTTAGCAGTTAATCACCTGGCTATTTTGCAGACTTATTATTTACTACATTTTTAATAATTATTTTCCGCTTTTTTGTGGTTAAAAATGATAGTATATTAACTTTGTTAATATTTTTTGGTAATTTTTGTTTCCGAAACGGAAATTTAATTCGCACTTTGTAATACTTGCTTATTAAAGGTAAATTCAAATTGGAGTAAATAAGTTCACTGTGTTTCGTTAGCTTTTTCTGAAAAATTTTCGTCAATTAACCTAAATAGTTCGGGCATGGATACCTTTATTGTCTTGCTTTCCACAATCATTTTTACTTCTAAGGGTTTAAATAAGCAGGTCGCATAAGAAACCAATCTACCCAAAGTAAAATAATCAATCCGGTAATACAAAATATCCTCCGTTTCGGCCTTGCTTAACTGGATTTTTGGGCTAATTCCTCGGTACTAATTTTAGTGTCTAACTTATAACTTACTACTTTCTTACAAATATCATGCTTGGCTTGTTCCAAAGGAGTAGCATTTTCCGGCAAAGCCCAAGAACCTCCTTGATAATTAGGGTCTTCTAATTCCGCTAAATATTTTTGGTATTCAGTTTTTTGAGAAAGTTCATCGGAACTACTTCTCTTTTCTTGTTTGCTTTTCATAACTTTACTTTTTTAGAATACTTTGGTTATATTCTTTTTCATAGATAGAGGGATAAGTTTTGTAGCCCTTCGAAAATCTAATATTTGGATTAGACGAATTGGCAAAAGTGGCAAAGTGTTGAAAAATCTCTTCTCTTAATTGGCGGTATTTAAAATATCAAGGATGACTATTGTGAAATTTTTCCCCAGAAATAAAATGATGCACTTCATGAACTGCCAAATCAACCAATTCATCATTAGGCAAATAAAACGACCGCCGAGGAATGATAATGCTGTTTGTGCTACGATCAATCCAACCTCAACTAGGGTTCCCATTCTGAGAATGAAGACAGGTTTCGGGAGATACTATGGTGGGAGTATTGTCGGGAATTAGGTATTTAACTATTTTTTCTACTTCTTGCTTTTGTTCGGCTTCAAATTCATTGGGCCGATAAGCAAAATCCTTTATATCAGCATTACTGCAAACATAGCACTTATAATAAGGAGTTATTAAGTAACTTTCGGCTTGACAGAGAAAACATTTAACTACACTGGGGCTAATTCTCCGAAATAACTTTTCTCCATTCATTTTTTTCTGCTTTAATTTATCTCTTGAACTAATCTCCGGCAAATGTGTCCAGCTAAGTAAATATTATAATCAGGATCTGGTTCACAATTTTTTATTTTTTCGGCTCGTTCTTTTAAATCCTTTAACATTATGTTATCAGGAGTGAATTCGGGGGTTATTTCTTCACATTTTTTTAATAATATTTCTCCAAACATAGGTAAGTCTAATTCTTCGCAGCCAAGCGAAGCACTTTCTAATTTAAAAAGAATCTCCAGCAGCACTTTCTTTTTATGTTCGCCGGGAGAATATTGTTGATTTTTTTGTGTGTCTTTCATATTTCTATATATGTCATTTTCCCTTAAATGGGAAATTCAATTCTATATAATTAATTTTAGAGTTTTATTGTAAATGCTATTAATAAGGTTATAGTGTAAGTTATAAATAAAATTACAAAATACTACTTTTTTTAAATTTAATTTCCGCTTTTTACTCCTTACTGAATTGTTGCGTAATTATTAGTTGTTACCAAAACGGACAAGAATTATGAAAAAGGTAGTATA